TTTTGACCTCATCCCTTCCCGTCACCTCCAGAACCTCACCCATCCCCTCTCCGATATCACTGGAGCTGAAGCTGATTTGAACGGCTCTGAACTGGAGTCATCTGCTTGCTTCTTCACTCACTGGTCTGACGCCTGAACTGGGATGACTCAGAGGCCAGGCTCAGCGGGGATGTGGTGCCTTCCAGCGGGCTCTCCATGTGGTTTGGCTTCCTCACAGCATGGCGGCCTCGAGGCAGACAGCCTTCTTGCATGGCACCTCAGGTCTCCAGGAGCTAGAGTTCCAGCGAAGTGCGTGTCCTTTTATGTCCCAGCCTTGGAAGTCAGAGCATCACTTCCACCATACTCTGTTGGATGAAGTCATCAGCTCACCCGGGATACAAAGAAAGGCTACATAGATCCCATCTCTCTATAGGAGAAGTGCTAAAGAATTTGCAGCCATGTTTTAAAACTGCCACAGGGTGTTTCCTATCTTTTGCTATTCCTGTAGTTTATTTTGCCCTTAAGATGTCTCAAATCCATTCAGTTCTCTGTGAGCCCAGTAGGCCAAGACATCGTCATCTCTAACCTGGAGCATCCTCACTGGTGTCTCTGCTGCCAGTCTTCAGCTTTCCATCCTGTTCTCTTGAGGGATCAGCAGCCAGAGGGATCTTATCAGAGTGCAAACCAGATCACAGATCCCCTCCCCTCCTTACAACCCTTCCATGGCTCCTCACTACTCTTGGGTGGAAGTCCACATTCCTCACCTTGGCTCACGAGGTCCTGCAGGGTCTCATGAATGCCCACCTCTCTGGCGTCCTCTCCTGTCACCACTCTTGAGTTTAGTTTTGAACTCCAGGACTTCCTCCCATTTTTCTCCCCCACCACACACATGCACATGGTTAAATGAGTAAGCAGTACATATAAGGAACTTAGACAAGCCCTTTGCACATAATGAGCACCATATATTTTCTATTATTAGTCTGTGTTCAGTAAATATTTATTGAGCTGCCTACTCAATGCCAGGCACTATGCAAGGCTCAGGGAGACAATAGAAAATGAAAAAGATGTGGCCCCATCTTGCAGAGCTCATTCATCTTTGTGTCCCCAGCCCTAGCACAAAGAGAGATGGAATGGACGCTCAAGGCATGAAGGCATGTTTATGCAATGGTGCCTGATGAAGCTGGGAGAGGTGTGGTGACTTTCCCAAGACCACATAGCAAAAGTGGGACAAAACCAAGGCTGTGGGCACATGACAAGGAATGAAGTAGATGCAGCTGCCTGGCAAGGGCTGGCTCTCCAGGAAGATGGGCCATAGGGTACACACTGCCCAGGGCAGAACTAGGGGTAGGTTGGGAGTGAGAACAAGGGAGCCTGTCTCATTGGCTCCTTCCAGAGCAGAAAGGAAGGAAGGTGTCCCCTCCCAACACCTCCTCCCCACCCCAACTCCCTTCTCAAGATAAGGGGGCTGATCCTCAGCAAGGTGTAGGGGTTCAAAGAGGAAAAGAAAATGGAGAGAGGACAGGGGACTCAGTGAGAGGGCAAGGGCTTCAGTAAGAGATGAGGGGCTCCTGGTGCAAGCACGACGGGACTTCCTGGTAGGGACCCAGTGACCCAGAGGTGAGGCTCAACCATGTGTGAGGGCTTAGAGAGACAGACAGTAGTTTGTGAAGGGCGGGGCGCTCAGTGAGGAGATGAGGGTTTATACACATGGGTGGGGGCTCCATGAGAGGGATGGAGGCTAGAGAGGGAACTAAGGATACAGTGAGGAAATGAAGGCTTGGTGAGGGCAAGGGGCTTCAGTGAGAGCGGTGGGAGATCCAGGGAGTGATGGGAGAGCCGGTGAAGAGTTTGAAGGACGCATGAGGGGGTGGGGTGGACGGGGTTGGGTCTCCAGGAAGGACTTGGGGTCTCAGAGAGAGAAGGGAACTCTGGCAGGGGACAGGGGCTCGCGATCTTGCAAGGGTCCACAATCTGCAGAGCCAGCCCTTGGAGCGGGCTGGCGCCCCCCTCCCACCCCCATATCACCCCCGCCCCCGGCTGCGGCGCAGGCGCCGACCGAACCCGCTTTTGCAGGGCTGGCGCTCTGGCTCCCGCTCGGCGGAGACAGCAGGCAGAGAGGTGAGCTCAGCCCTGCTCCGCGCGCGGCGCGACCCCCACCCCGCCCTCGCCGGGGCTCCGGGGAACCCCCACTCCCGCCCGCATCCCCAGCCCCAGCTGTGTCCTGCCTCGGGCAGGACGGCGGCGCCCTAGCCCTAGCGTGCCTCGGGCTTTGGGAGGTGGGGTCCCAGGGAAGCAGCAGGCGGCAGAGATCTCACCAGCCCCATCTCCCCGAGACACCTCAGGGTTGATAGGATCGGCGGGGGCTTCAAAGGACAAGACCCCCACCCACCTCTCTACTAGAAACCCATTCCCACCCTCTCTGCCTCAGTTTCCCTCTAGGGGAAAGGATGCAGTTATTTGGACCAGGGAACGGGTGGTCCGGTCAGAAACAGTGGTGCGGTGGGGGGCGGGGAGCATTGGCCGCAGGGAAATCACCCTGGCCTCACCCCCCAGGAGGGCGCCCTTCTCCCAGTCTGGGCAGCGCCGGATGCTGGAGTGGGCGGGTCTGGGGGTCTGGGAAGGAGAACTGAGTGAGGCCGTGCAAAGGCGAGAGATTCCATCCATCTTCAGGCCATCGCGCCTGTCACCTTCCTGTACGCCTCCTTCCGCTCGCTCCTCCGCCGCAGTCTCCCCCCCTCGGACCCTGTGGCCCCCTCCTCTTCCGGCTCCCTTCTCACCGAGCTCCTCCCCTCTCCCGCCTAGGGACATCTTCTCAGCGGTTCCTATGGCAACCCTCGTCCCGGGTCCTCAGCATGCTATCCCTCCCGCCCCCCGACCGCTAGACCGCCTCCCTGCAACCCTAAAATGGGAGGGGGAGGGGCCAGGCCGAGGGGAAGGCAGCGTCAAGGTCACCTTCCTTCTGCAGTGACGGCAGGATTGAGTGATTATGTATATTTGGGGGAGAGGGGCTGTGAGTTGCAGGGGAGGAGCTAATCCAGGCCGACAGTTCCTGGACCCCCTCCGCGCTCCCTCCTCTAGGGTCTTTAATTACAGGTCGCTGCACTGAGACCCTGACTGCCCCTCTGGCCCCCATTCATTCTCCCACCGCGACCTCCCGGGCCCTCAGCCGGGGGCGGTTCCCGCACTGGCCACGCCCTCCGCGGAGCCCCGCCCCCTCCCGGGGAGATCCCCTCCCTCTCCAGACCTCTCACCCTCTTTCTCTGTCTTTCGCGTTTGGTGTCTGCCTTTTCCAATTCTCTGTCAAAGAAAATTTTCTTCTTCTCTTCCTTTTTTTCTCCTGAGTTGTGGGTGAGAGCTGTGGAGTCCTGCGATTTATAGGCAAGCTTTAACGACAGCATTCCTGTGCGCTTGTGTGGACCCGTAGGGGCTCCAGGAATCACCCTCAACACACTCTGTGGCTGTGTGTGTCTGCGTGTGGCTGTATGTGTGTGTCTCTGTGATGTGTGTGTCTCTGTGATGTGTGTGTCTCTGTGTGTTTATGTGTGTGTGTGTTTCTCTGTGGCGTGTCTCTGTATGTAGTGTGTCTATGTGTCTTCCTCTGTGCTGTGTCTATTTTATGTGTCTCTTTGGGGTATATGTGTGTCTGTCTGCATATGTCTCTTTGCAGTGTTTGTGTGTCTGTATTGGTGTGTGTCTCTGTGGTGTGTGTGTGTCTGTGTATGTCTCTGGTGTGTGTGTGTCTGTGTGTGTGCGCATGTTTTTCTCTGTGGCACGTCTCTGTATGTAACTTGTCTGTGTGTCTTTCTCTGTGCTGTGTGTATTTTATGTGTCTCTGTGGGGTATATGTGTGTCTGTGTGTGTATGTCTCTTTGTGGTGTTTGTGTGTCTGTGTTGGTGTGTGTGTGTCTCTGTGTTGTGGGTGTGTATGTGTGTACTGGTGAGTCTCTACACGGGGAATTGAGGGCCACATCTGGCTGGAAATGTGAGAGGGCTAGAAATTTGTCTTACCCTTCAGTGTAATAAGCACATTGCTTTATTTTGTTTGAAGCTGTTCAGAGGGGCTGAGGGCCATCATGGCGGGTGGGGAGGGGCCCAGTCCTTCCCCAGCACTGCCCCCTGTCCCCGGGCTTTGGTTTTAGTCCTACTGTGTGTGGAGACACAAGTACCTTCCATTCCCAAGGCTTCAGTGTCTCCATTTGTGAAAAGAGGGGATCTTAGATAGGCTTCTCTAGAAATCTAACAGCCCTTGAGCCTAAGAGCCCCTAATCCCCAGGGCCCCTGACCTTCACCTCCTGTGGATTCACGATTTCTCAGGACTTAAAGGTTGTTGCCTTCTACAGGGCAGCCTAAGGAGGGACCTTTCAGGGCCTTACAGCTTAGGGAGCTCTGCCTGATGGGACACGTGACCCAGCCGTGACCATTACCCCCAAGAGTAGCCTGATGGGGGGGGAGATTTTGAGAAGAGATGGGGATGAAGATCTCTCACTCCAGACACAGGGCTCCAAAGTTCAGGATAAAAATAATAATGAAGAAATTATTAGTGATAATAATAATCATCATCACAACTTCTATCATTTTTTGGCACCAGACACAATAACTGTATGAAGCACGTTTAATTATTAGCCCTGTTTTACAGATGAGGAAACCGAGGCTTAGAGAGATGAAAGCCCTTGTCTAAGGTCACACAGCCGGGAAGTGGTGGATCTGGGATTCCAGTCCAGGCCGTCAGGCTCCAGAAGGCACAGTCCAGCTACTGGGTGGCCTCCAGATGAAACATGCACATTTATTGACACCTGCAATTGCCAGGCTCTAGGCTAAGCTCTTCTGTGCATTGGCTCCTTCACAGTGTACTTAGGGAAACACAGGCCAGGATTCCAGAAGGCCAGGTTGTACTATAAGTGTGGGGTGTCTAAAACGGGAGGAGAAGTGGAGGGGCACAGAGACCCTGTGAGGGTCACCATGGGCCACTCCCACTGACCTCTCCCTCTGTCCGCTGCACCTTGCCTACCCCATAGGGCCCCATGATGCCTAGCTGCGACCGTCCCTGTGGCTGCAGCCGTGGCCCCAACGTGGAAGATGGCAAGTGGTATGGGGTCCGCTCCTATCTGCACCTCTTCTATGAGGACTGTGCAGGTACCGCCCTCAGCGATGACCCCGAGGGGCCTCCTATCCTGTGCCCCCGCCGACCCTGGCCCTCACTGTGCTGGAAGGTAAGGCTGGAGGAGGAGCAACTCTGGTGGTTTCCTGTGGCTTCAGGTAGGAGATGGGGTCAGTGATTAGAAAGCAAAGGAATGCTGTAGCAGCTACACGTGAGACTTGCACATTCAAGCAACAGAAAACCCAACTCAAGTGGGTTTAAACTAGAAAGGGAAAATATTACTCATTTTATAGAAGAGACTAGAGATTTGGTGCCTTCAGGCAAAGTTTGATCCAGCAGTTCAAACCATCACACTGAGGACTCAAAATTTCACTTAGTCTTCAGGCTCCCCATGGTGCCTCCACCCTTGCAGCCCCTGTTAGCTTCAGGCTCTCCCCATACGTTCCCCAAATGGCTGCTACCATGCTACCACCCTCAGTCTTTCACCCCACACCATCCAAGGAGAATCAGAATTTCCTCCAGAAAGAGGAAGTCCTGGCAAGCATGGTGTTAGCTCTGATTGGGTCACTTGCCCAACCCTGAAGTAATTACTATGGCCAAGGGGATGGTATACACTGACTGGCAGAACGGGGGGCTCATCCCACTTAAATCTGACTGTGGCTTCACAGTGATCTATTGGGGTACTGCTGCCAGGGCAGTGGAAAACGTGAGAGAAACAACAGGGAGAGTGGCCAGTGAGGGCGCCACGTGTGGGAAGGTGTGGAGGTGGCAGTGAGCCAAGTCTCCACGATGGGCATAGCTCTTTGCTAAACACTGTAAGGAGACTGAGACAGAGGGTCTCCCCTCTGAGGCGAGGTGCCAGCTATGCAGAGGGAATGTACAGCCTCAGGCCAGGTGTGCAGAGGATGTCAGGAGAGGAAATGCTCTCAGTGCCTGGGGTGATCAGGGAAGACTTCCAGGAGAAAGTGAGTATGTATTTTAAAATTTCGAGCATCTTCTTATTGCCAGGCAGTGTGCTAGGCTCTTGGGGACACAGAATGTAAGAAGACATGGACCCTGTCCTTGAGGAGCTCGTAGCTGTGGTTCATTTAGTCATTCTGCAAACATTCGCTCAGCTACTGCTCTGTACCAGCACCATGCAAGGCATGGAAGACACCTAGTGAGCCAAAACAGACCCAGTCTCTGCTCTCATGGCTCTCCGGGCCCTCAGTCCTGTGGGGCAGGCAGACATCACTTACACAGTAACCAAAGAACATGTCCAGGTGTGCACCAAGGTGAGTGCACTGCAGAATAAATGGGCACAGCATTTGCATGAGTGCAGAACAGGGAGCCTGACCCAGTCCAGGGGCATCTTGGAAGGCTTCCCTGAGGAGGTGAGGTTTGAAATGAGATCTGAGGGAGGTGTAGGGGTTAACCCACCAGAGAGATAGAGGGTAGATGGGACGGGGGATAGGATGGGACCCAAATAATGATGGACGGGGACTCAAGGTTGGCAGGAGAAACCCATGACTAGGTGGGAGCTGGGAAGGAAATTAATTGAGAGGCCTCAAGATTCCAAATAGAACATGACAGTTTGTGCCCCTTGTCAGTCAGATCCTAGCAGATGTGTTCTGTGATTCTCATCTCTTAGGGTTGGACCAAAGGGTTACCTTTAAGTCCAGTTGGGATCCAAGGTGACCCCTTGGCCTGGGGCCCCTGGCTGTCCCTGACTACCTCCCAATCCATCTGCCTCTCCCCAGATCAGCCTGTCCTCCGGGACCCTGCTTCTGCTGCTGGGCGTGGCGGCCCTAACCACTGGCTATGCAGTGCCCCCCAAGCTGGAAGGCATCGGAGAGGGTGAGTTCCTGGTGTTGGATCAGCGGGCAGCCGACTACAACCAGGCCCTGGGCACCTGCCGCCTGGCTGGTACGGCGCTCTGCGTGGCGGCTGGAGTCCTGCTGGCCATCTGCCTGTTCTGGGCCATGACGGGCTGGCTGAGCCAGGACACCAAGGCAGAACCCTTGGACACCGAAGCTGACAGCCATGTGGAGGTCTTCGGGGACGAGCCCGAGCAGCAGCTGTCCCCCATCTTCCGTGATGCCAGTGGCCAGTCTTGGTTCTCGCCGCCCGCCAGCCCCTTTGGGCAATCCTCTGTGCAGACCATCCAGCCCAAGCGGGACTCTTGAGCTGCCCACATGGCCAGAGGAGGCGCCAGACCTGGAGTCTGGACCCTTCCTCCTCCCCATCACACCCCGCCCTCCCCTTGTCTCCCTAACTTCTCCCTTTCAGTAGAGCCCCTTCCCTCTAAGTTCCCAGAAGGCCCCACACCAGGTCAGAAAGTCGAGCTCACATCTTCATGCCCCGTCCCAGGGGTAGGGCCCCATCTCATCCAAGATGTCAACCTTCCCCAAGTCCTCCTGAAACTGCCCACCTGCCCCTCCTTCCCAAGGCTCTTTAGGAGCAGAAAGCGTCTCCCTCAACCGATCCCCACTCTCCTCTGTGACCTTGGGAAAGCCCCTCACCCTTTCAGACCATCGGTTCCTGCCTCTGTGCTACGAGGCCTGGACCAGAGCCTGGAGTTCCTTGACTCTCCTGTTCTCCCCAGGATGTAAGCATTCCCCCCATGGGCCAAGACAGGAGGAGGGGAAGCGAGGTCATTCTCATCCACTGACCCTCCCTCTGTCGGCTGTACCAGGATGCCTTGGGATGGGTCAAAGATGCTCCCTTGGACTTCCCCTCCAGGATGTGTGAACACATTATCCCTACAGTATGTTTGCTACATGCATTTTGGCATCAGAGCCCCTCAGTCCACCCATTAAGGGCTGTTACTAGCCCCCGTTTACAGAGCAGGAGGCTGAGGGAGGCTGGCGGTCTGCAGGAACTCAGACCTATGTCTTCAGACTCCTCCTGGGCCAGCTCTTGCTCTACAGCTGGAGCAGGGCTCTGCACCTGCCTGATTTCCAGGGGACCCCCGGGGGAGGTCAGATTCAGCCCAGAGAGACTAGCTGCAGGCCTCATGGTCCCATGTGGCTCGGAAGATACTTTGGGCATGCATTTAAATGGTCTCTAAGAGCCAGGGGGCAGGAGAACTGGAGGTATTTGCCCCTAAAAGTCCACCCACCTAGAAACCATCACCCGTAGGTCCTGATCTTACCTGTAACAGATGTGCCCTCCTGGAGGTACCAAGCCCTCCATCCCGCAGGCTCCCCAGCCAGGTGCATCGTCTCCGTTCTCCACCACCAGGGGGAGCTCCAAGACAGCTGGAGAGAGGCGCCCATGGGCCGCGCCCCTGCCCTCCCCACAGTCTCACCACCAGCCTGGAGGGGCCTCCTGGGCGGGTCCTCAGTCCGCCCCGACCAGGCAGGCCCTGTTGCCCTTGTGCGGGATCCCCCCTCCCCATCCTGCACCCCTTCCATCCCACCTTCCCTTTCAATAAACACTGGGATGGACACGGACTTCGCTTCTTTTCTCCCTGACCACTGGGGGCATGGGGGTAGGAGACTGTTACAAGTTCCTACTGTGTGCTGGGCACTTAAACCCATTCTTTCTCCTCTGCGCCTCACAAGAACCCTTTGAGAAAGGGGACTGCTATCATCATATTACAGATGAGATAACTAATGGTCAGAGAAGTAAAGCCACCTGCCTAGGGCTTCCCAGGGGTGGGTTTAAATGCTAGCCTGGTGGGAAGGAAATTTCAGTCATCTTGACAACCTACTGCCCCTATTCCTGGAAGACACGGGGGGGGGGGGTGGGGGTGCGGGAGGGCGGGGTGGTGTTTGGGGAGGGAGCTGGAGCCAAAGGTGGGGTCTTTTCCTGGTTAACCCTTATTGGCACTTACCAAGGTCCAGGCCCTGTTCTCAGGGAATAGACATGAATTCATTTAACCCTCACAATAGCCTGTGAGGGGGGGACCATGATTCTACTCCCAGACTCCACGCTGGTGTTTCCAGCTGCACTCACCTGCATGTTGAATCTCTGCTCAACTGTCCCAAACTCTTCTCCTTATCACCCCTCGCCCTCCAGACCTGCCCCCACTGTGCTGCCCACACCTTAGTGAGCAGCAGCTCCAGCCAAAAGCTTGGAGTCATCCTTGACCCCCCTCTTTCCTCGCAGCCTGAATCCAGTGCATCAGTGAGTCCTGTCAACTCAACTTTGGACACACATCCTGTACCCAACCACGTCCCGCATCCTCACGCTAGCTGCAGGCCTGAGCCACCGGCACCTCTCATCTGGATTATTGCACTAGCTTCTCCCCAGTCTCCCGGCTTCCTGCTTCCCCCATCAAGTCTGATCCTTACAGAGCAGCCAGACAGATCCTGTTATGATGTAAGTTAGCTCTTGTCTCTTCTCTGCTCAGAACCCTCTCATGGCTCCCACCTCACACAAAATAAAAGCCAAAATCCTCCCTGTGGCCTGCATGGCCCTATAGGATTTGCTGCCCTCCCCCTCCCACTTTCTTCCCCTGTGACCTCAGCTCCCAGCACTCTCCCCCTTCCTGCCTCCTCTCCAGCCAGACTGGCTTCCTTGTTGTTCCTCCAACATCAAGCCCAGCTCCTGCCTCCCGGCCTTTGCCTCACCGTTCCCTCTGCTGGCATGCCCTTCCCCAGTTCACCACTCGCTCAGTCCCCTCATCTCCTTCAAGTCTTTGTGCAGATGTCACCTTCCCTGAGGCCTTCCCTGAGCAGCCTATTTTAAAACGTGACCTTGCCCCCATTCCCCTTTCCCGGTGCACTTTTGATATTGGCTTTTGCTTTCCTATAGCATTTATCCCCTTTCAGTATACCATAGAATTTACCTATTTGTTATAGTGTTATGTATTACCCGTCCACCCAAGCCACAATATGAACTCCACGAGAGCAAGGATCTTTGCACCTTGTTTACTGACTTATCCCAAGTGCCCAGAACAGTGCTTGGCACATAGTAGGTACTCAATAAAAATGTGTTGAGGGGCTGGCCCCATGGCCTAGTGGTTAAGTTCTGTGCACTCTGCTTCGGCAGCCCAGGTTTGGATCCTGGGGGCAGACCTACACCACTCGTCGGCAGCCATGCTGTGGCAGTGACCCACATACAAAATAGAGGAAGATTGGCGCAGACATTGGCTCAGGACGAGTCTTCCTTAGCAAAAAGAAAAAAGTGTGTTGAACAAATCAATTTTAGTTTTATAGATGAGGACGATGAGGCTTAGAGACATTAAGCAACTTGCCGGAGAATGCACAGCTAGTAAATGGCAGAGCTGGGATTCAAACGCAGGCAGGTGGGCTCCAGAGTCCACAGCCTGGGCCACTGCACTATATTGCCCCATGGTTTGACAGCCCAGGGCTGGGGACATGACATCAAGTGCCAACTAATATATCCAGATGTTCCTTGCCATGTGGAAACGTGAGCATGGTATTAACAAATATTTTTTACCCAGAGAAGTTAGGAAACCAAATTTTTATATGAGATGGATCCATTTTTAAACATTAGTATCTGTTTCAAATTTGCCTAAGGGCTGTGCAAGACAAAACATTCCCAGGGACAGCTTCAATCCTTGGACAGCTGTGTGTGACCTCTGACCTGGACACTCTGGGTGAGTGCCCACAGCTGATCAGGACCAGGAATAGAATTTCACACTGTCAAAATGGGCCCAAAAACTCAGGTAGACCTCCACCCCAGAATATCTGTGTCCCACTAGCTTTCCTTCCCATTAGCTTTCCTTCCCAGCTGCCACCGGGGAAGCCAACCCTTGTCTGTAACCCCAATAAATCTCAGGCCTCCCCCACAGCCCAGTCCCCAGAAAGCATCCCATTTCAGAGGAGCAGAATCCAATAACCAAAATTAATTCCCAGTGATGCCAACTGTCACTCAAATCCTTGAAGATGTTAAAGGAGCTTCCATTTCACTCTCATACACGCTAGTGAAGATGTGTACTGGGTTGAATAGTGTTTCCCAAAAGTTCATGTCCACCTGGAATCTGTGTTTGTGACGTTATTTGGAAATAGGGTCTTTGCGGATACAGTAAAGTTAGGAAGAGGTCATATTGGATTAGGATGGCCCTGATCCAATAACTGTTGTCCCAATAAGAAGAGAAGAATTTGGACACACAGAGGGAAGACGGCCACGTGAAGATGGAGGCAGAGACTGGAGTGATGCATCTACAAGCCAATGGACGCAAAGGGTTGCTTGTTACCGCCAGAAGCTAGAAGAAGCAAGGAAGGATCACTCCTAGAGCCTTCAGAGGGAGCATGGCCCTGCCGACACCTTGATTTCAGACTGCTAGCCTCCAGAACTGTGAGACAATACATTTGTGTTGTTTGAAGCCACCCAGTTTCTAGTACCTTGTAGAGCAGCCCTAGGAAACGAAAACAGGGTGTAAATTGGCGGAGCCTGCAAGAGAGGCAGTTTGGCAATATCAAAACGGAAAACACACACGCCCTTTGATCCCTCCCTCCGGTGCAGGTGCACCTGTAGGTTAAACTCGACCTGCTGGAACACTGCAGCGTTGTTTGTAACAGAAAATATTTGGAAACAACCTAAGTGTTTATTGATAGGGGACTAGTTAACAAATCATGGTATATTTACATAATGGAACACTATGTAAAAAAATGAGAAAGTTCTTTATGTACTGATCTGGACTATCTCCAAGTTAGATTGTTAGGTGAAAAGCTGCGAGGTGCAGAACACTATGAATACTTTTAAACTATTTGTGTAAAAAGAGTATTTATGGACATTGCTTGCATATGCATAAAATCTCTGTTGATTTTGGTTGCCTTTTGGGAGGGGATTGGGGACGGAGTGGCTGGGGGTGGAGGTGGGAAGGAGACTAGCACATCATACTCTTTCACCCATTTTGCATTTTATTTATTTCTTTTTTTTTTT